TACACACATGTTGGCTTTTGAGTCCCGGGCTACCCCAGTCTCCCCTCACAAGACCTTAAGTCTTGATAACACCACACAATTTTGGGGATCCTACTAGACTCAATCCACATACAAGCTAGCCTTCCCCAGGACATAGATTGAGTACACCCTATCACGTATTTGAACTCTACTTGCAACTAGGTCTTGCAACCGCGAGGCACTTCAATTACTGCTGGGGTCATTTGAGAATCATTTCACAGTGGAGATTCTTCATTTCCCAGTTACTACTCTTTATTCCCACTACCCACCACAGACACATCACGTATCACGTTAGACACTCATGCAACCTCTAATTACTTATGTGGTGCTTTCCTCAAATACTGGAAAGGGCGAGCATGTTTATTCCTCCCTCTCTGATTTTTCAACCACCGTTTGAACTGATGCCGTGGCAAACTCTGGTTTTGCAGCCATCTGAGGGGATAAATGGCGTTGGGGGTCATGGCCCACAGACATTGAGTCCCGCGCCAGCTTCTCCTCTACTTAGGCCTTGTTTGAATGATATCCGATCATGACAGCTACTGTTGCCTGGGGACCAATATGGTCCGGTCACTCGGTCGGATGTTATTCACATACACCTACCCACATTGCGCATATATAGGCCGATCTTCATCTCTGGTCATCAGGAGACTATTGAGGAAACTCACATGGGTAGCCACTTGCTAATCTTATCATTAAGACCAGGTTTCACTATCATCTCAGCTGTCCACTTCCATGGGTTTCGTTTTAGGCTTTCTGCCAGACACTACCCACCACTTCCGGGCTGGCTGACCTGCCCCGCCATTCCAGGACATTCTCATGGATTAAATGTCTGTTTTAACCTTGCACGTCCCATTTCTCACCTTACACTTTTAGTCAACACTAGTGTAGCGGAGAGCTAGTATTGCATAGCCTACCTCCACTTGTAGATCCCAGTGAGTCTCAGGAACAGCAGTTACAAATCCATAGGCAAAGTATCCAGCAGGTAAAATAATCCAATAGTATCCCAACAGCACTCCCAATGACTGGACGACACACAGTATCAGGAGCAGAACTAAAGATTTATTCACACAGTGGCCTTTTAAAGCCTGCTCCCATGCAAGGGAGGGATTTCCATTAATTTGTACAGTAGCCAATCTTGTTCTGGTAACCTCCCACACATCTCCTCCCCTCACCCTGCATCATAATCCCCTTATCCAGAACACCAATTCCCCCCGTTTCTGGATGTACCCCTAAACGTAGGGGTACCGCTTTAAATCCAAATCCCCGGATACCCCTGATCTGGGTGAACATATCCAAAATTCACCCAGATCAGACCAGGGGTTCGGGAAATTCATGGAGGGAATAAAATGAACGACCGCACTGGAGAGAACAGCCGAATGGGGTTCCATGCGATGGGGCCCTGCGGTCGGTCCTGGAGTCAGGGAATAAACTGCATGAAAGCCTCTAGCTACAGAGACTAGGGAGGGTTCGCCTGAATCCACTCGTTCGGTTATTTCTATCTACCGAACGAGGGGCCGTTCAGAAGTTTGGAACCGAACGGACCGGCTTGTGGAGGTCTCAACGGTGTTCACCAAGTCGAGTGCCCAATTTGAGTTCCAGACACTGGACGGCAAAACACCGCTGTTCGGGAGTTTTAAAATGGCCGCCACCACGTGTTCGTTTCCCGAATGGCGGCCACACCCGAGAACAAAGTACGGCTACTCAGCTTGTCAATTACCCGTTCGCAACAATGTTGCAACGGGTAATTGAAGGCACACTTCACACAGGGGAGGTGTGACCGTTCGGTAGTTTCATTCGAACAAACTAAGGGAATGAAACTACCGAACATTCAGACGAATTCAATACATTTAACACATAGAACTTTGCTATTTTACACAAATGCATTCATTACTGCATATACATTTAGCAAATAGACGAATACAAGTTAAAAATAATACAAGTCCCAGGGCAGCTTATGGCCATCTGCTACAACTAGAAATTAGACAATAGTGTGTTCACATATTTTCACTAAGTCTATAGTGGAGTTTCAAGTTCTTTGACATGTTTGCATGGGATCTATCTATAAAAATCCTGCAGTGACATGTGTGTGCATTGGTTGTGCAATTTTGTGATGCCTCATTTATTAAAACACTTTCATCATCCTTATGGAGTTGCATTTCTTCCATGATGTGTGACTGTGGAAAATAATTATATATATATATTTCTCTACACATAGACAAGAGAAAACACAGTGCTTTGTGAATATGTTGGGCACTCAGACCAGGGCTATTCTTGGACTTGTGAGGTTCCTGGAATATTTTCTTATGTTTTTGGGGTGATTTACAATATTGTATGCATTTCATGTAACTGAGAGATAATTATCTCTCAGTCCCAGAGACTCTTGAAAAAAAACTGTAATGGTGTTGTGGAGACCCCATGCTAGGGGCCATGCATAAAAAGCCATGTGTGGCCGAATAAAGCTCAGTTGACTCTCATAGCTGTGTTTCATCCAGTTACTTGGGGAATGAGCTGTAATCACTGACCAGTGCTTTCTTCCAGCTCCAGAGGATTCCAGCAAAGATTTTGTGTCTTAGGATTGCAGCTCTGCTACAGCTAAATCAAGCAAAACATTCAGTAATTTGGTGACACAATATGGTCATACTATGCCAAACCCATGACTATATCAGAGTAATTCAATACTGGCAAAACTAACCTAATTGTATTATGATCAATTTAAATGTTACCATAATTACTCACAGATTCAGCTGTTTCAACATATTCAATATTTACCTCAAATGTATATTCTTCTCATGACAATCGTTGGGCAAGTGGGTTTGGTGGGGTGAGAGGCTTTATTCAGCTTTGACCATGCTTAAAGCATACAAAATAATCACATATTTGGGCATGCATTTCTTCGTAGTGGTACTGCTGAAATATTGATTATGGCTACACCCAAAAATGCATATTTCTTATAAAATTAAAGATAAGATGTTAATTTGACTGTGCAAAGGAACTGCCTGGAAGACAGTGTTTTATTTCTGTTGCGAATCTACCATGGTCACAGTACATCACTTTGTGTAATTTTTATATCTTTGGACTGGAATGTAATCCATTGTATATTTTTTACACGTGTGTCAATCTTTTGCAACATTGCCATTTTTAAAATCAATGGGAGTTTTATTATTGTAGAAAACTTTAGTCACACATTTGGTGAAACGTTATAAACTGAGGCACAGTATATTATGAGAATATTTTATTTTTAAAACATTTTATCATCATTTTGAATAATATGAACATATTATATGAACATACTACGATTGTGGTAAAAATGTGAAAGAAAATGTCTCAGGTAAATTTAATATGGAATATTAAGTCAATTCATTAAATAGCATACAAATGATTAATAATATATTTGTTCTCATATGTGTTGGAAATAAATGGATCAGTGTTCCAACCACCAACCCATTAATCCTACACTTAATGATCAGATCATCATATTTGGGTTTGTTCATGTGGACAAGCAGACACAGAGAAGACAAAAAAGGCAGAGAAGAGGGGATAATATAGGTAGAGGAGAAGGTTAAGCAGTATATTCCATTTAGATGTGAAGACTAGTGATGTACCGAACATAGCATGTTCGCGTCCGCCACGGCGGGCGAACATATGCGTGGTTCGACCCGCCCCCTATTCGTCATCATTGAGTAAACTTTGACCCTGTACCTCACAGTCAGCAGACACATTCCAGCCAATTAGCAGCACAGCCTCCCTAGCAGACCCTCCCACCTACTGACAGCATCCATTTTAGATTCATTCTCAAGCTGCATGCTTAGTAAGAGGAGGGAAAGTGTAGCTGCTGTTCATAAGATAGGGAAAAGCATAGCTAGGTTAGGGATAAGGGTATGCTTTTTTTGGATTTTTTTTTTCTATCTAATGTAAATGCACTTAGTTGTCTGCCACTGCTGCCAGCTTCTGTGTCAGGCTCACAGTGCCCCCATTTCCCCAGTCAGTGCCACCAATTACATCTGGTGTCACAATAGCTTGGATTTAAAAACAAAAAACTTTTTTCACTGTTATAGATTGAATAGCAGTCAGTTGTCTGCCACTGCTGCCAGCTTCTGTGTCAGGCTCACAGTGCATACTGTGCCCATTTCCCCAGTCAGTGCCACCAATTACATCTGGTGTCACAATAGCTTGGATTTAAAAACAAAAAACTTTTTTCACTGTTATAGATTGAATAGCAGTCAGTTGTCTGCCACTGCTGCCAGCTTCTGTGTCAGGCTCACAGTGCATACTGTGCCCATTTCCCCAGTCAGTGCCACCAATTACATCTGGTGTCACAATAGCTTGGATTTAAAAACAAAAAACTTTTTTACTGTTATAGATTGAATAGCAGTCAGTGTCCTTAAAGCGGGTGTGTTACGCTAACAGTGGATACGCTGACAAGTGCCACTAATTAGATCTGGTGTCACAATAGCTTGGATTTAAAAACAAAAAACTTTTTTCACTGTTATAGATTGAATGGCAGTCAGTGTCCTTAAAGCGGGTGTGTTACGCTAACAGTGGATACGGTGACCAGTGCCACCACTTATATCTGGTGTCACAATAGCTTGGATTTAAAAAAAAAAATCTTTTTTCACTGTTATAGATTGAATAGCAGTTAGTTATCTTCAAGCAGGTGTGTTAAGCTAACAGTGGATACGGTGACCAGTGCCACCACTTATATCTGGTGTCACAATAGCTTGGATTTAAAAACAAAAAACTTTTTTCACTGTTATAGATTGAATAGCAGTCAGTGTCCTTAAAGCGGGTGTGTTACGCTAACAGGGGATAAGCTGACAAGTGCCACTAATTAGATCTGGTGTCACAATAGTTTGGATTTAAAAAAAAAATAATCTTTTTTCACTGTTATAGATTGAATAGCAGTCAGTGTCCTTAAAGCGGGTGTGTTACGCTAACAGTGGATACGCTGACCAGTGCCACTAATTAGATCTGGTGTCACAATGGTTTGGATTTAAAAAAAAAATAATCTTTTTTCACTGTTATAGATTGAATAGCAGTCAGTGTCCTTAAAGCGGGTGTGTTAAGCTAACAGTGGATTCGCTGACCAGTGCCACTAATTAGATCTGGTGTCACAATAGCTTGGATTTAAAAAAAAAAAAATCTTTTTTCACTGTTATAGATTGAATAGCAGTCAGTGTCCTTAAAGCGGGTGTGTTACGCTAACAGTGGATACGCTGACCAGTGCCACTAATTAGATCTGGTGTCACAATAGCTTGGATTTAAAAAAAAAAATATCTTTTTTCACTGTTATAG